ATGGAGTTCCCTTTCGATGTGGACGCGCTGCTCCCGGAGCGGATCACGGTGCTGGACCAGCACCTGCGGCCCCCGGCCCGCCGACCCGGAACCACAACGCCGGCCCGGTGACACCTCAATCCCTCCCCGTGGCCCTTCTTTCCCCGTTCCTCTCCAAACCCGGTCCAGGCACCACGCCCCCTTCTTTCTGGCTGGTGGCCACTCCTTCTGATGTCCTGGCCTAGCCCTTTAACCCTGAGCCCGGTGACATGGATCAGTACTTGGATTTGTGACTTCACCCCTTAGCGGTCCCAACCACAGGCCATGGTTGATCCCGCCTTCCTGCTTCCCACAGTAATCTTAAGGGAGGAAGGAGTACCACCTGGAAAGATGTGACACAAGTCTGGGTTCCAAAAGGGTGGAGTGGGGAGCCAGGTTGGGAAATTCCAGGCAAAGGAAGGCAAGCTGAAAGTCTGAACCTGGCTGGAGTTGGGGCTTGAGTTCCCGGGATCCTGCACCTCAGTATCTGACTATGTCTGCTTCCTCCCTACAGTGTTGACCTGCAGCAGCAAATTATGACCATTGTCGATGAACTGGGCAAGGCTTCTGCCAAGGTATGGGGACTCTGGGTGGCATCCAAGAGGGACTGGAAGGGAAGCCTGGGTCCTTTGGAAGGGGCTTGTGGAAAGTCTGCCTTCTTCTTTTCCACAGGCCCAGCATCTTTCTGCTCCAATTACTAGTGCATCGAGGATGCAGAGTAACCGCCATGTTATCTATGTGCTCAAAGACACTTTGGCCCGTCCGTGAGTGCCACATGCACCTTTATCCCATTCTTAACTCCCTGCTCCCTCAGCCCTTCCCCCTTGTTTGACTCTACCTCCACCAGAGGGCTGCCACTGGCTTGTTCATTGTTGTCCTCATTCTACAGGGCTGGGAAAGGAGCCATTATTGGCTTCCTCAAAGTTGGATACAAGAAGCTCTTTGTACTGGTGAGTTATTGGAAACCGGGGCACTGAAGGCCTTGGTTCCAAAGACTAAGTAAGAGTGCTGGAGGCTGAAAGGTGACAAAGGTGCCTGGCTCTCTAAAGATAGTTATTGTTCTTTTCCCCTTAGGATGACCGTGAGGCTCACAATGAGGTAGAACCACTTTGTATCCTGGACTTTTACATTCACGAGTCACTGCAACGTCATGGCCATGGCCGAGAACTCTTCCAGTATATGTTGCAGGTACCACAGGCTCTACTCATTCATCCAAAATAAAGATCCTGGGCTGGGGATTTAGCTCAGTGGTTCCGGAGCCTGACTCGCAAGCGCAATGGACCCGAGTTTGATCCCCAGTACAAAAAAAAAAAAAAAAAAAAAAAAATCCTCTGCCCTAAGCCCTTCCAGAGGCCCTGCCGCACCACCTCCCACAGTGTTCCCATGGCCTCCTGCTGTCTCCTTCCCAGCTTCTGGCTGTGGGCATGCTTTCCCCAAACCTCCTCCTACCCTGAGTCTCCTGTTTCCTGTAGAAGGAACGGGTTGAACCACACCAGCTGGCCATTGACCGACCCTCACAGAAGCTGCTGAAGTTCCTGAATAAGCACTACAACCTGGAGACCACAGTCCCACAGGTCAGAATCTTGGCAGTAGACCCCACTGCTTATTCCCATTGGGGAGAAGTGGCTCCTTCCAAGGTCTCCTTATTCCCTGTGGTATGGAGCTAAGCCCTTTGTTTCTTTAAAAAAATTTTTTGTTTGTTTGTTACCGGGGATCAAACTTAGGACCTTCCACTTGCAAGGCAGCTGCGGTGCCACTGAACTAAATCCCTAGCCCAGGAGCTTTTTCCTTTGGTGCCATTACTTGTGCACAGCCATTTCACCTCCGTGGGTTGTTTCTTATACCTCATTTTCACCCACAGTGTATCTCTTTGGTTTTGCACAGCCCAGCATTTATTGAAGGTTCAGAATAATATAAATTCCTTGTCCTCAGGGCGCTTTGGTGCAACATGAGGAAGGTGATCTTGTTTATAAGTACAGTCATGTGTTGTTAATGCTATGCACTCATTCAGCAAATATTTACAGAGCACCTGACATTGTTGTGGACAGTAGGGATGCTTGACTCAATGAAACAGAGTCACCCTTGCGGATCTTATAGTCTAGCTGTTTACATAAACGAGTAAAGTATATGCTGTGGTTCCTGATATGCACTCTGGAAAATGAAAGCAAGTAAGGAGCCTTGGGAGTGCCAGGGTGGGGATATGAGCGGGTGGGATCGGACCGCAAGGTCACGTGGGGCTTTCAGAGAAGGCCTCACTGAGGGTATCACTGAGCAGCAGCTCAGGAAAGGGGCTCAGGGCTGGAGGTGCAGCTCAGCGGCGGAGTGTTCGGCTAGCGTGGATGAAGCCTGGATCTAACCCTCAGCACCAAAGAAGAGGGACAGCATCTCGGACAGAGGAGCAGCCACTGAGAAGGCCCTTAGGCTGGGCTGTTTCCATCTGGAAGAGCAGCTTGGGGAAGGACGGGTGCTGAGAACTAAGAATGGAGGGCGGGTGACGTCCAGGCCCTGATGTGTTCCTGCAAAGACTTCAGCATTTACTCAGTGAAAAACAGGGCCGGTCTGGCTGTGACCCTGTTGTGCGTAACAAGTTCATTTTGGCTCCTGTGTGAAGAACACGCAGTGCAGACATGGGGTAGGCTGCTGGGCTCCCCCTGAAGAGTCCCGAGGGCAAGGACTGGGGCAGAGATTTCAGCGTACGTGTGGCACTGAAGCAACAGGTCAGGATGAGGTAACCAAAGGATAAGGAGGGGCTGAGATGTGGTCTAAGGACTTGAGCCCCTGGGGACTGTTTACAAAGACACGGAGGACAGGAATGACCAGAAGGCAGGACCTTAGTGTAGCAAGGAGACGCTAGTGTTGGAGATAAAAACTTACGAGAGGTGACCTGGGAGGCCAGTGAAGCTTCCAGAAGGAAAGCATGGCTCGGTCAGATGCTGCTGCTCAGTAAGCACAGAGGTCTGCGAGGTGACTGCCGGACTCAGCTGTCCGGGACCCCTGTTGGTCCTGATGAGCTTCTCCGATGCAGCGGTAGAGGGAGCCTGGACGGAGCCTGGACCGGAGGGTAGAGGGGTCAAGCAGCTGGGAGCTGGAAACAGCCGTCGGCCCGTGTCAGGGCAGGAGGTGTGGCTCGGGAGAAGAGCACTTGACTGCACACAGCTCTGGTTCCTGTTGAGCCATGCAAATCAGTAAATAAACCCCACTTCACGGGAACAAGAAAGTACAGTGACAGCTAGAGGAGGAGGTGGATCAAGAAAGGGTTAGTTCTTTGTGGGCGGAAGACCAGTGGGGATGATTCTAGAGGGGAGGGGAGGGGAGGTAAGAATGAAGACGTGTATCACCAGCTACCCACGATGAAGACAATCATTAGGTGCTGCAAATGTGGACTAGTAAAACTTTTTTAAAAATCTGTCAAAGAATGAGTCCAAAAATACAAAACAAAAATTAATCTGTAGAGAGAAAATTCGATGATGTAAGGGTGGGCATGGTGGTGATGCCTGTCATCCCAGCACTTGTGAGACTAAGGCAGGAGGATTGCCGTGAGTTCAAGGCCAGCCTGAACTACATAGTGAGACCGTTTCAGAAAAAAGAAAGTCACCATTCCCCTTCACCCAGTTTCTGGAAGGGATCCATCTGCTGGCATTTGGATTTCCTTATCTTGAACATTTCACATACATAGTATCGTGTAGTACGTGAGTCTGGTTTCCTGCACTTGGCATGTTTCGAGTTCATGAGGAAGGGATTTGGCTCAGTGACACTGTGCCTGCCTCGCAAGCACAGGGTCCTGATGGTTCATACTGGAGCATGTGGCAGCACCTCATTCCTTTTCAGGACCCGATACGATTTCCTTATATGGACATTTGGTTTGGTTCGATTTGTACCTGGGATCGAACTCAGGACCGTGCGTTTGTGAGGCAGGTGTGGTACCATTGAGCTAAATCCCCAGCCTTGATTCTGTTCGGCTTTGTGGGGGACTGAGCTGTTGGTCTTCAGTAGCTGCATCACCTTACATCCTCACCAGCACTGTCGCATGCCAGTTCCTCCACCTTTTTGCCAACATTGGTTAGCCCTCTTCCCCTTCTAAGCAGTAGCCATCCTCATGAGTATGAGGTGCTATCTTTTGTAGTTTTGATTGACATTTCCCTAAAGACTAATGGTACAGAGCATTTTTAGCATCTTTTTTATGGGCTTATTGGCTGTTTATATATTTTCTTTGGATCTTGTGTGGAGAAATGTTTTTTGCCCATTTTAAAATTGTGTTACTGGGCTGAGGATTTAGCTCAGTGGTTCTGCCGCCTGCCTCACAAGCACAAGGACCCAAGTTTAATCCCTGGTACCAAAAATAAATAAATAAAATTGTAGTATCTGTTTAAATTGTAAGAGTTATTTATATATTCTACGTAGTCTAGATGTAACACCCTTATTCATATATAGTTTGTGACCATTTTCTGTCATTCTATGGGGTTTGTTTTGCTTTTTCAGTAGTAGCAATTGAACCCAGAGCCTTCTCACTGAGTTACATCTCCAGCCATTTCTCATAGTTTGTTTTGAAACGGGCTCACTAAGTTGCCCAGAACTTGTGATTTTCCTGCCACAGCCCTCCTCAGGCCTGCCTGCCCACCTGCCTTCCTTGATTCTTTCTTGTACTGGGCATCGAACTCGGCACCTTGTGCTTGTGAGCAGGTGGTGGCACCACTGAGCTAAATCCCTGGCCGCAAGCCACTTTCATTTTCAGTTTTGAGACAGGATCTTGTTAAATTGCCCAGGGCGGGCCTTGAACTGGCAGTCCTTCTGCCTGAGCCTCCCTGATAGCTGGGTCACTTTTCCTTGATTGTTTGTTGTTGTTGTTGTTGTTGGTACCAGGGATCAAAACTGGGCCCTTGCACTTCTGAGGCAGGTGGCAGAACCACTGACCAAATCCCCGGCCTTCCTTGGTAGTGTTTGAAGCATAAAAGTTTTACTTTTGTTAGTTTTAAGTTTTGATGAAGTCCAATTTATCTGTTTTTCTTCGCTTACTCTGCTTTTGGTGTCGTACTTAAACATTTGCTTGGGGCTGGAGGTGTAGCTCAGTGGTAGTGTGTGACCAGCATGTGCAAGGCCCTGTGTTTCATCCGCAGCGCTGGAAAAAGGAAAGGAGTCCTTGGCTGTGTACCTGAATTTGAGGAGAAACTTGTTGGGTTTGGGTCTGTCACAGGCTTTGTCCCTTCAGCCGTGGTTTCTGTGGCACAGGTTCCGTGCTCAGGTAAGTAAGTACCAAGTGGGTGAGTGCCCAACTCTGTCTCATCTGCTGCTGCTTCTAGGTGAACAACTTTGTGATCTTCGAAGGCTTCTTTGCGCATCAGCACCGTAAGTCTTGCCCCCACGTTGGTCCTGCCGCTGGGTGAGGGAAGGACAGAGTGGGCTGCTGCCCTGCGGCCCCCACTGAGGGGCACACGCTTCCTTCCTCACAGGGCCCCCCGCTCCCTCCCTGAGGGCCACGCGACTCTCTCGTGCTGCCGCGGCAGACCCCACGCCCACTGGTAACCCCTGCTTTGACGGGGTGGGACTCTGTGCAAGGGCCCGGGGAACTGCGGTCTTGGGCAGCTCTGGAAGCCTCTGAAGCAGCCTGGGTCTCCAGCACTCATCCTTTTTGCCTTTGCCCTCACAGGAGCTCAGTGCATTTTAGGTTGTTTTTTTTTCCTTTGGTGCTAGGGATTGAACCCCGGACCTCATGAATGCTAAGCATGAGCTCTGCCACTGAGCTGTAGCTCCAGCCCCACACATGGTGAGATTTTTAACAGGCAGACTCATTCAGACTTTGCAGACAGTTGATACCAGTGAGCCTCCTGTTGGATCAGATCTGGCAAAAGCGACCAGACTTGGGCCGGAGATTTAGCCCAGTAGTGCTGCCGCCTGCCTCGCAAGCGCAAGGATCTGAGTTCAATCCTCCGTACCAAAAAAAGAGGCCAGACTCACCCTCCTTTGTAAACTTCTCAAGTCTGAGGCTGAGGCTTTAGCTCAGAGGTTCCACCGCCTGCACCCTGAGTTCATTCCATGGTACCAGGGGAAAAAAAAACCAAACCCCAAAAAACTCCTTAGGTCTGGCAGGACAGGCAAGTGCAGACAGCCTTCCACTTCAGGCCTTAGGAGACTGACACGGATGGCCCAGACGTAAACATTAAGCTTAGAAAGTAATGTTCAACGTTTCTGAATCAGAAAGTTGGCCTGGAGAAACCCAAGCTACAATGCTGCTGCATTTATGTCGCATTCCTGTAGACACGCGCTATCCCTGCTGCAGCTCTTGCTTCCCCTCGAGAGCCCCCCGCCGCCCCCAGGGCAGTCTGCACCTGTCCCTGGCCTCTGCTCTGCCCGCGGTGCTGAGGCCAGGCCTCATAGCCTTGCTGTGCTTTGGCTTCCACCTCCAGCTGGCGGGTTGTGAGCCCCAGGGACAGGGGACACATCCGCGGTCAGGATAAAGCTTGAGTGGGCTCCCGAAGACGGAGAACCCTTCAGAGGAAGGGAGGCAGAGCTTTGGCCACTTGGTCCACAAGTCCTTTTCAGATGCCCACATTTTCTCATCTTAAAGAAAACCTTATAAAACTTCAATTTCTCTCCATCATTTTGCATAGGAAGGAGAGCTCTTGCCCCACCCTCCCCTTCCCCGGCCTCTCCAGAGCAATTCCCAGTTACCCAAGGGCTTTATCCGTCTCATCTGGCCCAGCTGGGACCGTCCCCCTGCCCTGGCACCCCCGGGGGCCTACCAGCACCCACGGGTAGCAAGAACTCGCTCCCTTCACTTGCCTTCTCCCACACCTCCCAGGCCCCGCTCTGCCCTGGGCTCTTTTTCCCTTGATCCCATGTGGCCTACTCCTTCTGGCTCCCCCTGAAGGGCTGCAGCAGCCCCCAGATTCTGTGTGTGCCGGCTTCGGGATCGTTCAGAAGTGACATTGGTGTCAGCGAGCAGAGGTCTGGGGCAGTGGCAGGGAGGGTGCAGTGTGCATTTCCTAATGCCTCCCTCTCCTGTGTCCCCTCCGCCCCCAGCTCCAGCAAGGAAGCTGCCACCCAAGAGGGCAGAGGGAGACATTAAGCCATACTCCTCCAGTGACCGAGAATGTAAGAGGGCTGGGGCCGGGTGGCTGGGTCCTGGGCCGCATTAGCCATTGTGACGTTCTCCTTTTCCTCCTCTTGCTGTTTTCCCTCCCCCTCCCCAGTTCTGAAGGTAGCCGTGGAGCCTCCGTGGCCCCTAAACAGGGCTCCGCGCCGCACCACCCCTCCAGCCCACCCGCCCCCTCGCTCCAGCAGCCTGGGAAACTCGCCAGAACGGGGGCCTCTCCGCCCCTTTGTGCCAGAGCAGGAGCTGCTGCGCTCCCTGCGCCTCTGCCCTCCACACCCCACTGCCCGCCTTCTGCTGGCCACCGACCCTGGAGGCAGCCCGGCGCAGCGTCGCCGGACCAGGTAATGGGAATCCTAACTTGGTTGTGGTGGTGCATGCCTCTCGTCTTGACACTGGAGGCTAAGGCAAGAGGATCAAGCCCAGCTAGAGCAACTTAGCAGGATCCTGTCTCAAAATTCAGAATATTTTCGTTTTAAAAAAAGGCTGGGGGTGTGTAGCTCAGTGCAAAGGCCCTGAATTCAATCCCCATTACCTACCCCCCATAAAAGGGGGTTAGAAATGGCAGAGTAATTAGAATTTGTCAGAGATGTGAAACGGATAGTCTCAAAATCTTTCAAGAAAAATATATTGAAGTGTATTTGAAGTGGTTTGATTTTTGTTTGGGTATTCTGGTACTGGGGATCAAACTCAGGACCTTTGTGCTTGTGAGGCAGGCAGTGGCATCACTGAGCTAAAACCCCGGTTCCTAAAGTTTGATAGAAAGAGCAAAGAGCAAAATAAGGCTTTAAATGTGGCGTAGTTGCCTTGTTTTGTATGCAGGGGAGGGAAGAACTTGGAAATCTGGCAGGGAGGAGCTGAACCTTCTGTGACTGGGAATCTTAGTATAACACTTGCTGGGGACAGGCAGCATCTCCTGCAGATTGGGGCCCTGGGTCCCAGAGTCAGTGCCGTAGATGCCAGGAGCGCATCCCAGCAGGCAGGGGGTGGACATCTCTTTTGTTTCTCGCCCTGGCTTCCTCTTCACCTCTGACTTCTGTTTTTCTCTCTCCCCCGTCTTCCCTCTCCCTCCTGTCCAATACATCCTCCCAGCTCCCTTCCCCGCTCTGAGGAGAGTCGATACTAAGAGCTGCCCCCTTCCTCCCTGGGAGACCGGAGCAGGCAGAGACCCCTGTCCCTGAGCAGCTCAGACCCTGCTTCCGTTGCATCCTCCAAACCCAGTGGACCATCAGAGCCCTAGGATTTCCTCTTCTTCTCTCAGACAACTGGGTTGTCAGGGTCCAAATGGCCTAATACTTTGTAGCTTTCCTTAACCACAGAAGGAACCCCTGTTGCCCCAGACTGGGCTCTGCTCTCCCTGTGCTGGGTTGCTCAGACCACGTAGAGAAGCACAGTCTTGCTCACCCATCAGACTAGACCACATGGAAGATGGAGGCCTCCCCCTAAAAGGTTAGGGGTCCTGTCCTTGGAAAGGTCCCATATAATTCTCTGTTCTGCCAACTGGTGCGTGAGCTCTGCTCCAGAGCAGCCCAGCTAGGAAGGAAGTGGTTCCCCGGTGGGGTCTGCTCAGTGTTGCCAAACCGTTCGTTCCGCCATGTTGTGTGTGTGAGGGAGCTCCCAAACTCATGCTGCTCTGGGGGTCTTTAAAGGAGATCCACTGACACTACCACTTCTCCCAGATCTCTCCGAAGGAGTTTACTTTTTGGCAGTGGATCCCAGCAAATACCTGGGATCACTCTCAGCCATGTCTGAAGTTTCGTTAGACCCATTCCTCCCTGTTAGCGACGCTCATTCCGTCTGGTGAGACGTCTTGAGATGGGGTGGGGACTGCTCTTCCCCTGCCTCCCACTCTTCCCTCCATAGCAAGAGCCTCCTGCCCGGACCCGTGCCCGGGGTCCAGACTGACCTCTCGGTCCCTGCCCTCCGAGTGTGTAGACAGGTACTCCCGCGCGTTCCCTGTGTCCTTGGGAGCAGGATCTCCCTCTCCCCCACTTCCTCCTCCCTTTTCTTCTCCCCCTTACTGTTGTCTGAATAAAGTGAACTTTTTGTGTTTTCTAAACTGACATTTTCAATGGAAAAAAAGAACCACACACACAAAAACCAGTATAAAGTGTCAGCCTCATTTGTGCGTCATACCTTATTTTCCTGGGAGCTCAGGATCTCAGCCGCTCTCCATTTCTGAGACCTACAGATCTTCCTCCAAGGGAGCTCAGAGCTCCCTTCCAAGATCTGCTGGGTCCCCTCCCAGTGCTCCTGTGGGTCTCTCCCTTCCTCCGAAGGCTTCAGACCAAGTCCCTGTCCCCCAGCAATCTCCAGTTCTTCCCTAGGGACTCGCCTTCACCCCGGCCAGCGCTTGAGATGTCATTTACCAGCAGCACCTTGGGATCCACTAATTACCTTCCTGGGTTCCTCTCCCATGCTGTGATTTCCTGATTGAACCTCTGCCCCGCTAACCCTGAGGACCTCTCGGGATGAGCCCTAACCTCCACTGAGGGGCCAACACGGTCTGTTACTCTACTCCATAGGCTCCTTTTGCTCTGCAGTTTGGTCTTGTCACTCCGTATTTCTCTCTGATCCAGGTATTATATTTAAACATCAAAGTACCTGCTCCAACAAATTATTTTTTTGCCTATGTAAGTCTTTTTGTGACATGATCTGAACCTCATTTAGTCATATATTTAACACATTACCCCAGCTGGAAAGGATAAAGCAATAAATCAGAACCATCACAGAACATCCTGGGGCATAAAGTGCACGCCAACCCCTTTTCTGGGGCGTGGCTTAGGTCAGACCCCCTTGGGGACGATAGTCGCGCCCTCCGGGTTTTGTTCCTGCGCTGTTCCTCACCCTCCCTCCGATCACTCCGGGCCCCCGCCCCTGTCCCGTGGTCCCGCCCCATCATCGCCCTTTCTCCCGCAGGGAAACTCCCCCAGGGCTGGTCGCCCAAAGCTGCAGCTACAGCCGCCACGGGGGGGCTGAATCCCGCGTCCCCCGGTGCAGGTGAGTATTCACCCTCACCCCCGAGCCGGCCACACCCACTGCGGACTCGGCCTGCCCACGCGACGCCTGCTGTCTCCGCGGGCAACCAGGGCTCAAAGCAGGGGGGCCGGGCGCAGAGTGGGTGAGCCCTGCAGCCTCCCCGCACACCTCCACCTTCGGACCCCTTTCCTAACCCGCGTTCCGAAACCGCTCTGCGCACAGTGCGGCGGGCTAGGGCCGCACACTTCCTCCGCCCGCGCGGCCGGCAGGCTCAGCCCTAGCGCTTCCCTCCGCGTTCGCGGGAGGGTTTTGAGCCTGGACTTGGTGCGAGCGCCCCCGTGGCCCGCCTCACCCGCGGCACCAGGCCGGCTGTCGGCAGGTTTTATCAGCTGCAAGTTTGTGTCTCTTCTTTTAACCAGGGCAATAAAAGTATTTATTTTTATCAAGAGAACTACTGGAAAATCAGATTCGTTATTTCAACATCGCGTCCCTTATTTCCCCCCCTTCAGCCGCATCTTCCTTAGCTTATGCGCGAGCGCCACAGGTGCGCCGCGGCTGGGGCTGCTAAGTTACTGCGCAAGCGCCCTGAGGAAGCCTCCGGTCGGGCGAGTGCAGGCGCAGGCGCAGGCGCACTCTCGACGCCCCTGGCGCCTCAGCGAAAATCAGATTCGTTATTTCAACATCGCGTCCCTTATTTCCCCCCCTTCAGCCGCATCTTCCTTAGCTTATGCGCGAGCGCCACAGGTGCGCCGCGGCTGGGGCTGCTAAGTTACTGCGCAAGCGCCCTGAGGAAGCCTCCGGTCGGGCGAGTGCAGGCGCAGGCGCAGGCGCACTCTCGACGCCCCTGGCGCCTCAGCCCTCAGC